CCCAATTTGGTCTGGGCCCGAGGTGGGCTTAATAGCTGGCGACTACTGTATAATCAAAATGCCAACCGAATAAGCCAACCTGTGCTCCAAGGGTATAGCACAGGTGAGAACATTCAACTTCCGATAAAAAGAGTCTCGTGTTCGAGGACCGGGTTGTGCATCCCCTGGGGTTGGGTATGACAGGCTGATGACGGCTCATGAGTCTCATAATTCTGACCGTTGAGCGTTCATCAACCATTTTTATGTGCTGTCAGTAGATTTTTAAGTTCCAGAGATAATGAAATGTTCTTAACGATGAGAATTTTTCCTTTGATTTTGACCACGGCATTCGTATGGCAAAGTTGCTGCTGTTACCAAGCTAGACACACACGCCTACTAAAGTTACATCAGCTGTACTTTTGGAACAATTTTAGTGTGATAATAACATCTACTTATTTGTATATCAGTGGCCATTTTTCCCTATTGAATTAGGCAATCGATGACCGGTTCCTATCGTTTGCCGAAGCGCACGCCTACTGCAAGAGCCTTGCTCCACTGACAGTTTCGGACACAGCTGGCTTGGCGGTCCTGCATTCATACGAAGATCACAGTGAGTGTGCCGTCTTTCCTCCGCCTCCAGGCACTTCTTCACTCACATCATTTCGGCATTCTCAAGTTGTTTTCCGTTTTGTTTTATTTCAGTGTTTGCTGCAAGTCTTCTCTCGGAGTTGCCCATGTTGCCGGCCAACAACTCCAGGTACGGCAAGCTGCCCTCCATTTCAAGACTCGAGGTTGCCTGGCGACGTTATCATTGGCTGGGTCTATTCAATTACCGTCATGGATCGCATACGGTTGACGAATCCGCCGCTTGTTACGTCCCTCACGAAGTTTCCACCGATCTGGTGCGTACCTGTTCGGAAATAATGTTTGTTGCTTTAAAGGACGATATGACGCCGTCTCGAAACTACTTTAGACCAATGTAGCTACTTTTTTCACCGCACTATCCAGACGAGATGCCATTTCTCACGATTCCGTCTTAGGAACCGTAGGAACCGAGGTTTCGTGGTGACTACTTGGTGGCTCATCAGTCTGACGAACGCCTGGACAAAGGAAATGCAACAGGTTTTAAAACGTTGGTAAAACTGTCTTGCAGGGTCGTCTGAATATACATTCTCCGCGCCCAACAGCCTACGTAGTTGGTAGTTAAGCATTTAATTCTTTGTTACTGAGTGTAAATGAATATTTCATTGTGTTGACAGTGATCAAAAATACTAAACTAAAACCACTTATAGTTATTTCACTCAGCTAAATTTAATCAACTTCATCAACATAAACTCCTGTTGCACAGGCAACTGATGTCTATTGATGGATATTCGATCTTATATTGGGGGAATTTAACGAAAAAAGGATAGTCGCACTGCTGAAAATGCAAAAGTAGTTTAGTATTATAAGTAAAAGGCAAATAGCACCTCTAAAGATAGTCCTTCCAAAAAATTTCATTTTTTGACGAAAACTTTGGGCTCATGACTTGCTAGCTTAGGCGGAGATTAATACCCGTATTTTGTAGTTATTCCCTGAATATCGCATTTTCCAGCACCGAAAACATATGTAAAGTTAGTGGTCATTGGGCTTTTTGCTGGAAATTCCAGTAATATCCTTAAACGTCACAGTTGCGTTTAAAATGACTTCATGGGTTAGAATACGTATTTCAAAGTATTTTCGCCAGGCAGGAAATGCCCCGAATTATTTTTGCTGGGGCCGTGGAATTAGTTTTCGGCACTTTATATTTTCACTCTTTGAGGAAGTGCACGAAACCCTTACAAACGCAGGCCGGCAATACAACGAACCCCCGGCGCGAGTGGACTTGTGAGTAAAAGTTTGCGGGTTCGAGTATTAGGTTGTGCACCACTTGGGGTTGGGTATAACTAGCTGCTAACGGCTCATGAGTCAGAGATGGCCATTTCGATCTTCAGAAGTAGAAGATCCGATAGCTGGAACAGGAGTTTTACTTGTCGGAACTTTCAGATTCTGTCGAGAATCCTTAACCATAGGTAACATTACGATAGTCTGAGAAATTCACAGAATATGCGGTATTTATAGTGTTATAA